CAAACAGCAAGGCTGTGGCCTGAACACCTTTAAAACTGGGTGTTGTACTCGTTTTTTTTTTTTTTTAAACTGATGATATACCTGTTACAGCATTTGATATCTGCACCCTTATTCACCGAAGTTTTGGCTCCTGACCCTCATGCCTCCCAATGGCATATACAAAACTGTGTTAGTTGAGTATAATTTTGTAGTTCCAGGGGGACAGAAACACCTCCATCTAGAAATGACTTCCAAAGTTCACAAGGCATTTTAGTAAGTAGGATCTCACTTTTCACGGCGTCTCTGTGAGGCGGTGTTGCCATCTCTATTTTCCAGATGAGGAAACTAAAACTCCCAGGGATTAAAGGATGCACTCAGCCTTCTGCTGCTTCCTGACACGCGTTCAGAAGCCAGCTCTCCTGGCGGTGGCAGCAAGTCTTATTTCCTCTATTCTGGACTTGCTAATTAGATACCTTCCTTCATGGAGACTACTCATTCTGCCAGTGTGACTCTGTGCATGGATGTGAAGAAATACTCACTTTTATTTACCAGATTACTAGGCAGGGTATACTCGTAGTCAGTCAACAATGAGTGTCAGCTAACACTAAAATAAGGATTAATGTCCCCATATTGTAGGAAAACAAAAGAAGAAGCAACTTGGTGAAGGGTGGTGTCAGTCTCTTGGTAGGTGTAGAGAACACTCCCATGACTTTCATTTGTTGCTTTGATAAGCTGGTCAGAGCCACGAGAACATTTGCAAGAAGAGAAGCATAATGTATGAGCTTCCATAAAGCCTAGAGGCAGATCCAAGTGGTACAGTTTAGAAGACAAATTTTAAGAAAAGAATACAAAATGAAGGCAGCCGAAGCTTCATTAGCTTCTTGGTAAATCCACTTCTGCCCATGGCTGCCAGGAGCGCTTTGGTGCGTGTATCCAGTCTGTCACCACAGAGCTGGTAGTCATCCATGGCACTATGCCCTGAAGAAGTGGGTGAATCTCCAGTGAAGGGTATTGAGAACAGGTCATTGTTTTAAATGCACTCAAGTCTCTAAGGTCAGAAAAATTGATTTCAGACAACAAAAATATTTAAACCCATGGCCGAGGAACTGCTTTTAAGAATCCTTGAACCTACCAAGGAATAAATGTCTGTTACCCTGAATTTCAGAGGTGAATTCTAGAAAGCACAGGCTGATGAGACTCATGTTAGTCCCAGCAAATGTATAAAATGGGCCATGGAACAGATAGATTGCTAAAATGTAAAGAGGGGATAGACACTGATTGGGTCCTGACATGGGTTCACTAAAAAAGAGGTCATCACAAATTAGATCAGTCTCTACTTTTTATTGAAATATTAAACCCAAATGTCAGGGAAATACTCCAGGTTTTACAAGGAATTCAGTTTGGCAGATTCTGCCATGATATTTTCTTTCTTTCTTTTTTTAACTTTTTATTTATTCTGCGTCTTTTACATTATGCATCTTGATCCCATTCATTTCCCATCCCTGCATGTCTGCCTTCTGCCCTTACAGCCTCCCCTGCCCCCGCCAGATAAAATTTAAGAAAAAAGAAAAAAGGGGGTGGGGATCTCGTCATGGAAGCTGTAGTGCATGATCTTTTCGCAGGCCAGTTGGGGAAATGTGTTTTGAATTATGGAGTAATTAAGTAGATTTGTCTGCTTGACTGATAGAGTGAGATAAACACGTGCTGAAGTGGAAAGTTGGAAGGCTTGTGCATTTCTTTTCAGCTCTTGTTGGGGACAATGGAGATACATGGGGTGAGTAGGAGAGGATGCCTGCCTTCAAGAGCTTAGTCAGAAAGGGATTTAGAAGCAGCCAGCTGTGGTTTGTATAGAGAGACCTACACCAGGGAGAAGGGGGGATGAGGCCTGGAGAGTGGCTCAGGGGTTACGAGCATGCGCTGCTCTTGCAGAGGATCCAAGTGAAGTCCCCAGCATCTAGCTCAGGAGACTCACAGCCACCTCCAACTCTAGCTTCAGGGCATCCAACACTCTCTTCTGGCCTCCATGGGCACCGTGTGCAGGTGGTGCACTTATATGCATACAGGCATAAAGTAAAATCAATTTTTTTTAAAAAAATGCGGATAACAGAAGGACACCCACTGAGTGGGAGGCAGGAGGCCTTCATGGCAGCTAGCTATAGCCAACTGTCATATAGAGTCTTGTCAAGCAGGGAATAAGATTAACATATGCCGGGCGGTGGTGGTGCACGCCTTTAATCCCAGCACTCGGGAGGTAGAGCCAGGCGGATCTCTGTGAGTTCGAGGCCAGCCTGGGCTACCAAGTGAGTTCTAGGAAAAGGCGCAAAGCTACACAGAGAAACCCTGTCTCAAAAAAAAAAAAAACCAAAAAAAAAAAAATTAACATATAATAGCAATAAGATTACTTCTGAGAAGTATCCCTAAAGATGGTAGACCACATTTCCTGCAGATCCTGAGGTTCTAGCTCTGGTCATGGTTGAATCTCAATGGCTGGTTGGTCTCAACACCACATCTGCTTGGAGCTCTAAGCACAACTCAGCAGCCAGACCTCAGTAGAGCCGAATGACTGAGATGGGCAACAGAAGAGACCATGCTGGAAATCATACCCAGGATTGAAGGCAGGAGAGCAAGGCCATTCTGATGCAGTCAGATGACTGGGATCTTTGTGAAAGAGAATGATATGTTTGGACAGTCAAGAAATTACACATGAACTGGGCAAGGTGGCACATGCCAGTAATTCCAACAGATTGAAGATTAAGGCAGGGGGATTGTAAGTTCAAGGTTAGTCTGGACAACATAGAGATCCTGTCTCAAAAAGAAATTCAGGAAGCCTGCGGTTTAGGAGAGGAAAGCAGGTGAGGCCCTCTGCTCAGAGGGGTTTTGTTTCCAGTCTGAGCTGTGCTGAGAGTCTACACACTCTCCTCATCATAAGGCTTTTCCAAGACATTGCAAAGACTGATTTCTGCTTTTCTAAAGAACGATGGAAGTCGTTTATTAATGTTTATAAGAAAGATTTCTGCAGTGAGCCTCAGGGTTTGAAACCAACCTGGATGAGGTACGACTGAAGTCTGGAAAGCCTAATAATGTCTATGTTGGTTTCTGCAGAGCATGGATTAAGATGAAATACTCAGTCATTGAGTCCTGTAAGTAGCTGGAAGCCATTCACACTGGACCAGGAAGGATTTATTAGACAGGCACATCTTACTCCTCCACCACAGAGCCTGAAGCTCCCCGTGCACAGCTGTGACAACAGAGTTCTGTTAGTCTATCACTCGCAAATGTGCTGGCCTAAATCCTGCCTGGGAATCTCTTCTCTACCCCCGAAGTTGCTGTAACAAGATCACCACACATCCTCAGAATTCTTTCTCAATGCATCTCCCTGGAGGCTCACCCTTTCTCAGACTGGCCCTCTCCTTTGAGGACCAGAACTGGGCATGTGGTGGGAGGGAAGTCCTTCTCATTAGGCCAGCTCCTAATTACGCAGAGCCTTCCCCAGCGTTCCCAACGTCAAAGCTCAGCTAGCACAATTAACTCATGTCGCAGGGCTGTGGATAATGCTGGTCATTTAATGTGGTTGAATACCGCAGCCAGGGCCTTCCTGTTTCCAAACCCGTCAATAGAGTTGTGAGGCCCTGAGTGTGTTCCACGGCCTTTTGCTGTCCCCATGGAAAACAGAGAAGAGTCTGAGATCTTGCTTTGAATGCTTAGCGCGAGGTGCTGACGCCTGGCCGCTTACTCTGCACAGGAATGGAAGGCTGCAGTGTTTTGATGGATTATGGGAGAGCTCAGTTTGCTAGGGAGCTCCATGCCTCCATGTTCACAAGTCTCTATGTGACTAGAAAAGTCTTTAGTTACAAAATGTTATATATCCTCCTGTCTGAACAGACATCACACTTCAGTTCCTTCAGAAATGTTCATTTTTGCACTCTGGCATTTTGTGTTTTATTTGTAAAACCAGTTGTGTTCTTTAAATTTTAATGAAACAATATTAAATAAATAACCCAGAAGCAGCATAATAAAATGCCAGCACATCCAGGCTATGACTCCGAGTTCAGGAAAATGAGCGGTCTATAAATCCTGCCTTCTTTCTATTTGGGGAATGGACCGCCCAGACTGTTGCATGTGTGAAGACCCAGCTGGGATGGGCCCGAGCCCTTTGGCTCTCGGTCATAGGAAGGGAGCACAGATTTGTATAGAGCCAGCCTCTTCATTCTGTTCATAATAGCTTGGCAGGCAGACTGTTCCCACATTTTGGTTGAAAAGGAAGTACTATGAATAGCAATAGAGTACAGGGAACCAGTGGCCAGGGGGAGCGTTCCGTACTGGAGCATCCAGTCCTTCCTCCTCCTCCTCCCTCTTCCTCCCCACCCTCCACTTGTAAGCACCCCCAAACATCTCAGGCAGTTCAGCATGAAATCTACAGAGATCTTACAGAAGATACAGCCCGGGCTTTCACTGTGCTCCCATCCGTTAGCAAGTGAACAGGTCTCCTTAGTGTACATATGGCTAATTCACCTTACTCTGTCTCCATTCTGTACTCGGGCTTGTGGGTCCAGCTGACTCAGTTTCCCTAATGACTTCTCTTTAAGCAAGAAATGACCTTAAGTCATGGTATATCCCTTTTGGATCAAGGTGGAGAACATAAAGACAGATGGATAAATGGGTATATCTAGGTAATAGGTGTACACAGACAATTACATTATCATTTAATAACTATTTACAGCATAAAAGAAAGCCTTAAGTAGATGGAGAAAAATTAAGGTGATATTCCTACCAAATGATCAAGCCATGTTAAAGCTCTTCTAGCTATTTTAAGGTACCCTTTTCTTATTCTAAGAAGTACTAACTCGGAGAAGCCTCCCATTATGTCCCTAACTGGGTTAGGTGCCTTCATTATGGTCTCTCATAACATGCTATCTGTCCCCTAGCATGGTACCCTGGGGCCATCCTGGACTGCAATTGCTTGTTAAACTGTCTATCTCATTTCCACCGATCTGAGAGCTTGCTCTGGCTCTCTTTTTCAGAGACTCATCACCAGCACAGACCACAGCATGTAGCTGACCGTCAATGGACGTTTGTGTGAGTGAACAGCAATTTAAGATCTCCCTGGACTGAGGAAAAGCAGCAAGTATGAATTAGGACTCTCTCCTGTCCATGCATGATGCTCTGTCCTGATTCTGTGGAGGCCATGGAAAGGGAAACCCTGATTTCCCATCCCTTGTGTGCGAATTAAGCAAAGGAGACAAGCAGAAACTCTCTCCGAGCCACATTCAGCTAGAAGGGGGGATCCTGGAGGCCTAAGAAGACTGAGGAGGCCGTAGGTGAAGAAGAAGAACCTGAGTAGGCAGAGTGAGAAGAGCTTTGCAGGGAGAAGGAAATGAAACCAGAGACGAGTCCAGCATGAGGCAGAGGAGCAGGGAAGAACTGTAGGTGGAGAATCCAGAGCTCCTGTGAGCACCGGAAGGTCGGCTGGGTCATTTGGAAGACTCTGGAAGCCAGAGAGGCCTGAGCTTTGGATACCTGCCTGAATAAGAGAGTTCAGTGCTTGTCTGAAGGTAGTTTAGGAAAAGGTTTTTAAAGTCATGGCAGGGAGGACTGGACAGGAGATGGCTGTCCTGAGAATGTCACACCGTGGCCATTGTAAGCATCCCAGAATGAGATGGCGAGAGCTGGGTAAGGGATGAATGAACGAAGAGAAGAGAAGGTAAATCCGGAGGGCATTTGGAAGCAGCGGCAGGCTGGTTCTCTGCTGGAGATGTACTTTAGGAGTCTGAGCTGCATGTTCCCCGACTTTACAAGAAGCTGCTCCCAGGAGCCAGTGGCTGTGACAGGGATGGCTGGTGAGGACGGGGCTTCGTGACAATGGCCTTCCTGCTGGTCTGACTCCCCTGCCTTCCCTAGGGCTGTCTTCCTCTGGACTTTGTGCTCACCCCCCAAGCAGCTGCTTCTCCAGCACAGGGGCCACCTGCTCCCTTCAGTAGCTGAATTATGTCCAGGTAGTGGTTACAGTTTGGATGGAAGTGTCCTTCTAGCTCCTGTGCCCAAGGCCTGCACCCTGGTTGGTGGATTGATCCATTGGGTTATTAGGGAAGGAGGCCGAGTTGGAGGGAGTAGGTCACTGTGAGCAGAGGAGCCTTGGAAGGTTATTTCTCATCCCAGGCCTACCTACTACGCTCCCTGCTTCCTGGCCACCATGAGAGGAACAGCTTTCTTGCACGTGTCCTTTTGGCATGGTGTTCTCTCTGCTTGTTATAAAACACCCTCTTTTCCTTTTCCTGGTGCCCTGAGCCAGTGCACTGGGGGTCTCATTTTAAGAAGTACTGACTCAGAGAATGCTCCTAAAAGCAATGGAGCATGGGCTGAAAGTTCTGAAACCATAACCCCCCCCCCCACCAAATCTTTCCTTCTTTAAGTTGTCTATCTCAGACACATTTTTGTCAGTGACGAAGCACTAACTAATCTAATGAGTGAAGGGTCATTGAAGTCTTGCTGCCTTGCAGAAAGTAGAGTCCCTTTTGGTCCAAGTACAAGACCAGGTGCTTTGAATGGAAGGCAGGATCTCACAGAAAAATTTACTATTCTTTTTTAATGTGACAGTTTTTGGAAGCTGTCTCTAAGGCCTTGCAGTCCTCCTGCCTTCATACTCCCCCCCCCCAATGGCTTTTCTTTATTTATTATTGGTTGGTGTGTGTGTATGTATGTGTGTGTGTGTATGTGCATGCATGTACAGGTGCCATCAGAGGCCAGAAGAGGGCACTGGATTCCTTGGACCTGGAGTTACTGGAATTTTTGAGCCACCCAATGTGGATGTCAGGATCTGAACTCAGGTTCACTTAATTGAGCAGAAAGTCCTTTTAACCATTGAACCATCCCTCTAACTCCCAATGGCTTTTCCTCATGGTCTTAGAAATCTTCATATTAATCCAAAAGTCATCACTTTTCAAAAACCAGGAGGGTGACTGTCCTGGTGACCCTTGTCCACCACTGCTGAGCTCCTGGTCTGGAACCTGGAGCCTCGTTGTTATGACTTATAATTCTGGGGTCATTTCCAGACAGGCTGCCTGCTTGCATAGTTCAGTTTTTCATCATCATTTTGGGGCTGTTTGCTTGGCCTTTGCTATTGCTGTTGCAATAGTGTTTGGGATCTGACTTCCTGGCAAGCGGTAGGATTTGGCTGAGAAAGCTGCCAGAGGCTGAGCCCAGCTGCGGGGAGGGCCCAGACTTCATGAAGAGGGAAAGGAGATTGGGAGTGGGCTCGGAGGCATCCTTGGGCTTTCTGAGCCAGAAAGGGAATTCATAAAGCAACCAGCTTAGTTGGCATTTGGGAACATTCCCCAATGGTAGTGAAGGCTGTCACCACCATAGCTTGGCTTCTCTTAGCCTTAATTCCCACTGCCCAACAGACTGGCATGCTATTGTGACCTCCTAGCAAAATGGTTGCAGCTCTCTTCAAGATGAGCTTCATCTGAAACAAATCTCAAGGCAACCTGAGTGTGTGACTCATATTCACGCTCCCATTTGTAAGTCAGGACCTTGGCGAGGGTTTTGGGGGGGGGGTGTCAATGGGCCACTTTCTGAGTGTTTCCTTTATTCCCTTGCCCGTATCTGGAGGCAACAGTATGTACACTGTGCCCATGCCCCAAATACTGGTCTTCTGATGCTTAATCCAACATGCATATTGGAAGGGTGTTATCAACACTAAAAACTTTCATTTATCAGGTTCCCTCCTTCATTGTAAGGCAAGAAACTTCTGTCTCTTAGCGGCAAGATGCCGTAAAAATTAGACACCTGGAAGTTCCTAAACACTTCTCTTCAGGGCTGTTCTGGGTACAATGATGTCACTGTCGAGCATTCAGACGTTCAAGGATGTAGCCGTCTTTCTACCGTCAGCCGAGGCAAGTCAGCGCTGTTCAGTGGGATCAGTGTCTTGAACAAAGGGAACCCTTGTTCTGATCCCAGCTGGCTCACTGTACATCAGAGGAGCCGGCGTGCAGCCCGATTGGCTTTCAGTTCCTCTACCCCAAAGATACTGGAACCCCATGTCCTCCGGAGCCATGCTGAAGACAGGTGTACACATTTCAGGTTCACACAAAAGGCCAAAGAAAGGGCAGTCCTTAAGGTCGAGTCACGTGTTTGGAGAACTACACTGCTAGATTTTTAAAATCATGTGAACATCACAGAGGATACTCACACACTAAGACGGTTGCAGTGTTCCTGGGTATAGAGCCCTGGGACCTCCATCTTGTGTACGCTGTCTGCTGCTTCCCGAAATGCTATACAGCACGTGACTGTAATTTTCTGTGGTCCCCTCCTTGGAAATCGCGAGGAGAAAGATCTCTCCCTCAGTCTGCTTCCCCAGACCTCAGACAGGAACTCTTCACTCTCAAGTCTGTCCTCTTCTCCGTTGTCACAGGGCAGCTGCGGCCAGTGCTATCAAATTCTATCCACCTGTGTTTCTGCATGGGCAGCGCATCCGCAAGAACAGGCAGCTTGTCTCCGAGGCAGGTTTCCTGGGAAGATGCAATTATTCACCCAGCTGGGAAGCAATGAATACAATTTCTGTCCTCTGGAGCTAGCTGCCTACTTACTCCTCCACACTCAGGTTTGGGGATAACTGGCTTTGTTGGGTCACCTGACTTTGAGGCTCTGGCTGTCTAAGGTCCCTTGCCCGCCTGGGTCTCAGATCCAACCCCAGCACTGGTCCTTGAGTTAGAATGAGGTCCCTCTGCATGCAGACAACGCTTTGAGTCTCAACTAGTCCAGGAGGCTCCTCTCAAGGGTCTTTCCCTCCCTCCAACCCCCTAAGATGACCTCAGAGGTTTTCATGGCCGTCTTTCCTCATGGCTGATAAATTACTATGTGTGTATCCTCACCAGCCGCCCAGGAACAGCCCTACGGAAGCCCCATGGAATGGTGCTGGTAATGAGTCTGAAGTTAGCCCGGATTGGTGGGATACAGCCTGACATGAATGGCAGCGCCCTCCTTAGATGTCGAAGGGAGGGGTGATATGCATTCCAGATGTTTGTTGTCTCTGCACCTCTGTAAGAACCTGCTTCTGTGGTCTTAGATGGAGTGTTTTTGTGGCTTTAGAGATCTTTATTCAGCTCAAAGATTTTCCTCCTGAAGGCACGGCACTATTTCTCCCCCCCCCACCCCCCGATAAGAATAGCATATTTAAAAGTACACATTTGTACTTTATTATAACTGCCCTTCCTAATGCAGAGATTTTTGGAGGAAGGATACTTTTTTTTTTAATGCCACTGAGTTCTGTGGAAAAACATAGAAATAGGTACTTGAAATTTTTTTACCCAATAAATAAGGCTTTACTGGTAATTACTATATGCCAAGCATATAAAAATGAAACAACACAGACTCTGCTTGCAAAAAGCTCATATTCTGGGCTGGAAAAGTCACATGCTGACAAGTACTCTAGCTGTATCGTGAAGTGTGCCCTCCAAGGGAAGCTGCTATGGTGTTCTTGGAAATGGAAATGTTTTCTTCACTCATCTTCATTTTCTAACGAGGCTGAGCTGCTGTGGGAAGATCTACATCTTTCCAGTTGTATTCCAGTCTCAGCTCAGAGTGTCCAAGATCCCCGGGCCTCTCAAACGCTTCCCCGCCGCAGCCCCTGAGCTGTCTGCCGTCTCCACTGGAGATGGCAGCCGTTCTCAGACTCCTGTGGTCCCCGCTGCAGCTTGCCCAGGCTCCCTGTGTGAAGTGTTTAGCTGTCTACCTGGCTCATGAGCAGCCTCCTCCCTGCGCCTGAGACCTCAGGCGCCAGCCTCACCCCTTCGCATTGGGAACATGGTCTGAAATCAGCACGGCTGCTCGCTCTTAGCACTGTCCTCTCAGGCCAGTCCTGATCCCTGAGTGATCTGGCATGCCCACAACCATTTCCACCAAGAGTCACTGTGTCAGAGGCAGTCACCCAAGCAGCTGTGACATGGTGTGAGAGCTGGGAAATGCCTGGATCCGTTTGGCCATGTCCAGGTATTTCACATTTGTTTTCATAGTGATTCTGGGCTGAGTTACAGTGCTCATCAGCATGTTTGGCAATACAGAGACACAGCCTTGGCCTGGAGAAGGTTTCAGCCATCTGTTCTTTTAAATGATAGGAAGGAGGAGAGTGGATTTGCTAGAACCTGGAAAACACAGGAATGCTTTCTGAAGACTGTGGTCCTGGTGGAAATTTGTGTTCCTCCACAGAAACAGAACACAGGTTATTGGTTTCTGAGGACTTGGGGAAGAGAGTGGGGAGTTGGAATTAATGGCCACAGAACATCTTAGAGTAGGGTGATACAAATATTCTAAATAATTGCCCAACTCTTCAAATACCAAAATCTACTAAAACATACCCTAGCTAAGCTGGGAGTCAAATCCAGGGCTTTGTGCAAGCTAGGCAGGTGCTCTAACCACTTTCCTCCCCCTTACCCTAAATTATGAAGTTCATAAAGGAGTCTTTTTATTGTATAGGAAGTATATCGCAATAAAGGTGTTGTTTTTAAAAGGAACCCATTCTTTATAGCAAAAATGAATCTGAAAGGTTAGTTCACATTAATAAAGCATCTACTATGTGCTAGCTTTTTCTGTGTGGTTGGAGACACATGAGAGCAAGAGAGGCACTCATAAATGAGAGAAAGAACCTGTAGCTCCTAATAACCAAAGGATGCATTGAAACTTGTAGTTATCACTCTTAGGACTTGCCTGGAGTGTAGAGCCAGGTGTACACACCCATGGGGGGGGTCACCTTTGTACTTGTTTGTAGGGAGGCGTTGACTGTCTCAGCAAGCCACAGGTCCTTTCATCTCTAGGGGATGCCTTACTGATGAGCTCGTGCATCTCAGTGGTTTGATGGTAACCACAGAACAGAGCAGGCTGCATCTCTCTTCCTCCACCATGTTGATGAGGCCATCAGACTTTTCTCTGGAGCTGTTGGCCAGAGATTGGGCCGCACCCCTGAGGTATGGCCTGCATGCCAGCTTCAGACTCCTCCTTAGGTTACTATACCAAATTTGCATCCTCATTTTGAGGGGTTAAGTCAGCTGGAATGGCAGGATGCCCTGGGCGCACAGGTCCTGCTTCTACCTTCTCTCTGGAAGACTGGATCTGTCTTGAGGGGAAGCACGGTGTTGATGTGAAGTTGCCCTCAGCTGTGGTACCTGACCTCAACTCCATAGATGACCCAAATCCACAGATCTCAGAATCAATCCTTTTACACTCTATAGGTCTTTTTTTTAGCTTCTAGAAATGTTCAACATCTGGTCTTCACCCATCCCTCCAAACCACAACAAGACAAGACCCTGAATGACCCCGATAAATGCAACCTAGTTGTCCAACACCCACCTCTCCCCTGCAGAACAAAATCAATTGCAACCAGATGAGAGTTTCCATATGGACCAAAAGGACACCAGCCAGTAGAACAAAGGGACAGTGTTGGGAAGATGTCACCTGGCAGGGAGGGAGGCAGGAGTCCACATCTTGGGGCCCACTGGCTGTGAAGTGCTCAGGGATGTGTGTACCCCAGGGAAGGGAAGCTGGAGGAGAAGCCAGTACAGTTCAGTGCTGTGTTTGGCAACTCCACAAGGAAAGGGGTGGTAGGAGGACAGGAAGACTCAGAGCTTCTAGAAAGCAGACACTTCCCACTTAAAAGCTGTCTGAGGAGTTGGGTGGGCACTCAGGAGGCCTGTGAAGACCTGGGCTGGATGGGAAGTTCATTTGGCAGAGAGAATAGAAACAAGACAGTTCATTTTCTTTTTGATGAAGTGAAACCAGCTTAAAAAAAAAAAAACCAACTGTTGTAACCACAGTCTATTTCATAGATAAATGTACAAAAGTACCATTGGCTATAGCCATCCTCCCTCGGGAATTGTGCCTTGAAAATCATGTAAGTGGCAGTTTGAAGGTCATGGATGAGTTTGATTGCGTTGTCTAGCAGGAGAAGAAAACATGCGAGCAGAAAGGGAAGAGTTTAAAATAACAAGGGGAAATCTTTCAATAGAGCTATAGAGCTGGGTAGCAAACCTAGTCCAAGGGTTAAAAACAAGCTTTTCCTCCAAAGTTTCTATGGTAACTAGAGAGAATCTACAGCAAGCATGTGGTTGATGGAATACTTCTAGGCTAATAGGTAACAGTGAGTAATTCAAAGTGACTTTGTACAGGCTTCGAGGCAGGTCATGTTTTAGCTGCTGCTTCCTTTATTCCCAGCAAAAATTAGACATTGAATTCGGTAAGACTTCATTTACTGCAGGCCCTGATTTATCTCAAGAGCAGGATCTTGAAAGCTGGTGTTGATCCAAATCACTTGGAATGAAGAGAGACCTCCCCTCTTCTCCCTTCCCCTGCCTTCAACAACAGTTTGGATTCATTTGACACACATGTCAGTGTTAATTTGGACAGTTAGAATAATGCTTGTGACTAACTAATTTTATCTGTACACAAAGGAGAAACACAATCTGCTGAGGTCAGTTGGAAGCTACTTTATACATGGCTAGAAAGTGGTGGATACGGTAGGAGAGAGGGGCCTAGAAATGATATCCTAACCCAGCCCATTGTGGCCAGTGAAACCAGGGACAGAGTGCTGGACCTTTCTGTCTCAGTAACTCATAAATTGACCCAATAGCCAAAGAGTAGAATTGACCCAATAGTTGGCTGATGGATTAAAAGAGATTAAAATACCTATTGTGCCCATAAAAACCTACCTACAAACATACACATTTGCAACATATACCCCAGTGTTCTTTTTCTATTGCAACTTTGACTGATATATTCCCAACTCCTTGTTGTAAGACCAGAAAACCATGAAACCAAAACTTTACAAAGCAAAAATGGGGAAAAAATTGCAAACTGATATTCTTCATGAATGTAAATACAAAAATTCATAAGCAAAATTTATAATAAGAATTTTTTACAAATATCTATTGAGATATATAAACTCTGGTTAAAGTAGAATCATCTAAGCTACCACTACTACCAACACTAATACATCTTGAGCCCCACATAGTGCTAAACGCACGTGTGGATTATTTCATTCCACGCTCCTAACTTGGTGTCATTATTTTATAGTGTAGCTTACTATAACACATATTTAGTCCTAAATCACAAGGCTATTAAATGGTAGAGTCTTGACTCAACATAAACAGTCTTGCTATATATTAAAAAAATATGGTTTTACCTTTTATAAAATATATTTACGATGCTTATTTCTTTTCTTGCTTTATTGCACTGGTTATGGCCTCTATGTTCAGTGATGACTACAAACAGTCAGATATACATCCTTGCCTAAGGCTCATCCTCAGCAGGGGAGCAGCCTGTGCTTTGGTGCTAAGTATAGTGTTTGTTGTAATTTTTATAGACGTTCTTTATCATACTCAAGAGAGTTCACTTCCAGTTTTCATTTAGAATTTTTTTTTACCACATACAAATATAGAATTTGCCAACTTATTCTTCTGTTCTATTGAGACAATGGTATGGCTTTTCTCTTTTATTGAGCTAAAGTAATGAATTTTCAATGACTGATTTCCAAATACTTCACTTTTATTCCAGTCATGAATGTATTATTGTTCTTAAATTTTTATTACCAATTTTTATGTTTATGGGAAATAAGGGCCTTTGACTTTCTTTGCTTCTATAAAAAGGAGTTGAGAATGTATTAGCTGATGTTCCGTGGGCAAAAGAGCCCTTGTATGTGTGCATGCCACCAGGAAGGGCCGGCTAGGTACCCTGTGCAGAAGCTGGAGGGCCACTCAACGGACTTTCTCAGAGAAACCACAATGTTACTTTTTCAACTGACTGTTTTAGATAATAGATAATAATTTTCTTAAAACCAGCTAGTTGTAGTTGTTACTCATATCTACCTTCAAGTAACACCTAGATGATGAATGACGCTGTCAGATAAAACTGAGCCTCTCAGGCTAGCCTTGTAACTTAGGTTACGTTTCCTCAAGTCACACTTGAATATCCAGAGACAAGAACAAAGCCATACTCTGTAAAATGTGGTACAATGACCCTGTGTATAACCAAAGCACCCACTTTCATCCAGAGGAGGGTGCCAAGGCCTTGAGTGATCGTCACTGTTCTCTTAGATAGTCTATAACTTAAATACTGTGACATAAAGTTAACTAAGATTAATAGAACTTCTGTTAAGTGATATAAGGCTAGGAGAAGGAAGGAAACAAAAAGATCTTGCATATAAAAATGTTTATAACAAAATAAGAAAGAACTACTCATAATAATTACAGTCTTTATTTCTACCGTTTGTCACATAGCAACGGGTGGGTGGTATTTATAACTACTCTTCCTCCACCCTCTCCATATTCCCTTTGCCTTCAGCCAGCACATTAGCTGAATATGGGGTTTGCCTAGTGAGGTGACCCACACTTTCGTTCCTGAAGAGATGGGCTGTTATCCCATTACTTAGTAGTACTGCTCCGACTGGGTTGCTGTAGTTTTCTATCCACTGACCGAGTTCAGAGAATGGTAGCTGTTATTCGCCCAGGCTCCTAAAACGAAGTGTCATAAGATGGGTGACTTGGACAACAGAAGCTTTGTCACAGTTCTAAAGGCTAGCCAGTTTGGTTCTAATCAGTGTCTTCTTCCTGGTTTGCAAATGGTGCCGCCTTCTTGGATGCTCACAATATAGAAAATAAGATAGTCTCCCACATGAGGTCACTGATTCCACAAGAGTTCAACCCTAACAAATTCATTTCCTTTCAAAAGCACCAATTCAAAATGCTTCCATATTAGGCTTAGAACATGTGAAGTTAAGAGTACACAGGCATTTATCTTTATAGCAGCATTACTCAGAAACATTCTAATGGATTTCCTAACATACTGTTCCTGAACACCTTCATACAGTACCAGCCCAATTTCTGCTTGACAATCAGGACCAACACTCCCAGCCAGCACAGTAAGCTCTCTTCTTGCTTGTTTGACTGAGAGGAATGAGGAATCCAAACTGGCCAAATGCCAGTCATAATTTCTATTCCACTGGAATCATTGGTAGGATTATTCTCATTAGAACGAAGAACTCTAGACCAGCAGAGGCTATGATCACAAGGACAAGAAACAAATATTTTTCTACTGGCTCTCTAGAGGCAAAATTGAGTGGTGTTCCCCATTTTCTCTTACTGATCCTAGGTCTATGAATCCTAACTGTGTTAGAAGGAGCATTATATATTCCTTGCCAACTCAGTGCATTCCATAGCCTTTTGAAGGACATTACACTACACTACATTACATACACTACATTACATACACTACAGGTGTATAAGATATTATTGGCTAGCTTATGCTGTGAAAGAATCCCCTGAAGACTGTTTTTACCATTCTTTTCTCCTGTGTGAGGATAGAGCATTACATGGCCATGTTACTGTGATTGTACATCAGTTGCTGTGAAGTGAGTTCTTTGATTTGAAGCAATACTGTGTGGAATACCACAATGGTGAATGAGGTAATTGGTAAGCTTATGGATGATAGGTTTATTAGAGGCATTGTATACAATATCTATAACCACAGAAAGTAGATTCCAGTAAGAACAAAGCATTTATCTTTCCATAGTGGAAGTGGTCCACATAACAAGGCAGCTGGCTGCCTTAGTTAGGGTTTCTATTGCTGTGTGAAGACACACCATGACCAAGGCAACTCCTATAAAGGAAATTTTTTTTGTTGTTGTTTTGAGACAGGGTTTCTCTCTGTAGTTTTGGTGCCTGTCCTGGCTCTCACTCTGTAGATCAGGCTGGCCTCAAACTCACAGAGATCCGCCTGGCTCTGCCTCCCGAGTGCTGGGATTAAATGCCTGTGCCACCACCACCCGGCTTAAAGGAAAACATTTAATTGGGGCTGGCTGGTAGTTTCAGGGGTTTAGTTCATTATCATCATGTGGGACATGGCAGTGTGCAGGTAGACATGGTGCTGTAGAAGTTGAGAGTTCTACATCTTGATCTGCAGGCAAGAGGAAGTAAACTGTCCCACGCTGAGCATTGCTTGAGCATATAAAACCTCAAACCCGCCTCGGCACTTCCGCCAACAGGGCCACACCTCCTAATAGTACCACTTCCTATGGGCCAAGCATTCAAATACATGAGTCTATGGGGGCCATAACTATTTAAACCATCACACTGGCTAATTGCCTCAGGGAACAGTACATATTAAAGACAAAGTTTCAGGCTCTGCTGTGGCCAATCAGATGCTCAACATTAGCTATGTCCAGATTGACCTTGGAGACTAGAGGTCCATCTTGCTGATCCCATGCTGTCTTCTCCCCTCTACCGTGACCACTGTGCCCAAGAGCTCTTTGGACATACAGCTCGAGGGAAAGGCAGACTGTACCCCATGATGTAGTCACTGTTAAAACACTCCTCTGAGATCATCCTCTTTTGAGCATTCACAAGGAACACAAATGACTTTTTTCTTTCTTTGCCTGTTCAGAGAAGACCATCCACCCATCTCATCCCGGAACTCCCTTGTTGCTAACTTTCCATTCATGTTACTTCCAAGAGAGTTACAGCACAAAAGGGAAACTCTCAGTGTTCTTTTTTGCTTCGAAAGGGAAGTATGAGTTTAGGTTCATATGAGGGTGTGCCTTCAGATGCCACTCAAGATCAATACTATAAGTATGCTCCCATTCAATGATTGTGGTAGCTAATCTTGGTTGTCAGCTTGACACACCTGGGAAGAGGGAACCTTAAGTAAAAATTATATCCATCAGATTGGGCTGTAGCCACTCCTGTGCGGCATTTTCTTGGTCACTGATTGATATAGAAAGACCCCACCCTCCATGGGCGGTGCCATCCCCACCCTCCGTGGGCGGTGCCATCCCTTGGCAGGTGGGACTGGGCTGTGTAAGAAAGGAAGCTGAGCACAGTCCAGTGAGCAGCACTCCTCATGGTCTCCTCTTCAGCTTCTGCTCCAGGTTCCTGCTTTGACTTCCCTTGGTGATGGGCTGCAGTAACCTGTGAGACAAACAGACCTTTTCTTCCTCCAGTCACTTTCAGTTCTGATATTTTACCAGAGCGACAGAAACCAAACCATAATGATGGAGTGCCGATGAGTACTGTGTCCAGAGCTTGATGCCTTGAGTCTGACAACACCTGGTTCATGATGAGAAGCTTGGGGAGGTGTAGTAAATGATTGTCTCCAGGAACCACCGCCTTTGATCAACCTAATGCCGTTTCTCAGAAAGAAGTAGTAATCCACAGAGAGTGTCAAGACTCCAAATTCTTCGGATCTGGGTTGTGGTTTGCCAACAAGGGCCTGTGAAAGCCCCCAAACAGCATTTCTGTGAGCCACTAATGCCTCAAGCACCACAGCATCTACTTAGGAGACGGCCTCAGTGGCAATGCAGTTTCTGTAGTAGCCTGGACCTACTACAGAGCCTCTTCTTGTCCCAGCCACACTCAAAACTAAGGTCTTCATGTACATAGTAATTGGACCAAAGAATTCACCAGACTTAGGCATATGGTGGCCGTGTGATCCAATGAGGCCCTAGTATGTGTATGCCTCTATCATGATTGTAGAGGTGGCCAGAAACATCAACTTTTCCTTCATTTCAGTGTGCTCCACACCGTTGAACTGTTAACATTTTCATTGAGATGTCTGAATCTTTGTCAATTTTATTTCCCATTTTAGACAGTTTGTTACTTGGAGCTGAGTCTAGTCAGTGTAATGGACCCATGTGGTGCCTTCTGGAAGAGGAAGGTATCAAGTTGCCCACGAACTGAATTTTAACATCGGGCTAGAGAATCGACTCACTCCAAGGTGAGATCATAAAGGCACAGTGCTAGACTCAGCAGCCGGGGAGAAGGTGCTTGTGATGGTCTTATTTGTGGGGATGATGACGAGACGTTCACCAGCTCACTCATGGTACGCAGGTACCAGGGCCTGTGTTAAATTGCTCAAGCAATGAAAATACATCTGGAATATCTGCTGCTGCCGTGAATGTCTCTTTTGGTTAAGCTTATAATCAAGTGTTCATCAGATTTCTATACAGGCCAATAGGCAAGCTGAGTGGGGCTATGGTAAGAATCAAAACACCTCATTTTTAGAAGTTCTTGGTGTGGTGGCATTTCTTCATCAATGTTTAAGAGAATGTGGTGGAGACTCTCTGGCTCTGAAGTTTTCTTTGTGAGAAAATGTGGTGGTATTGTGTTCCCCAATATATTGTGCACCCTAATAAACTTATCTGGGGTCAGAGAACAGAACAGCCACTAGAGATAGAGGCCAGAAAATGGTGGCACACACACATTTAATCCTAGCATTCCGAAGGCAGAGATCCCGTCTGAGTTCAATGTCACACTGGAAATAGCCAGGCATTAACCCCAGGAAGTGATGGCAGGAAGCAGAAAGGTATGTAAGACGTGAGGACCAGGAACTAGAGTCTGTTAAGCTTTTAGGCTTTTGAGCAGCAGTTCAGCTGAGATCCATTTGGATGAGGACTCAGAGGCTTCCAGTCTGAGGAAACAGGATCAGCTGAGGAATTGGCAAGGTGAGGTTAGCTGTGGCTGGTTCTGTCTCTCTGATCTTCCAGCATTCACCTCAATACCTGACTTCAGGTTTGATTTTATTAATAAGACCTTTTAAGATTCATGCTACAAGAAAAATTTTAATTAGAAAGTACATTTCTTTAACGGGCGTCGAGCTATCTGATTTTCTCTTCTGGTTTTTGTTTGGATAATTTGAATTTTTCAAGGAATTTCTCCATGACTTCTAAATGGTTAAATTAATTAGTGCAAACGTTTCCGAATCCCATCCGGCCGTGTCTCAATGTGTATGGGAGCTGTGGTGCCATCCTCTGTCACTCTTAATGTTAACTGTTTTTATTTCCTCTTTCCCCCTTGATTATTTTTCTCAATTGTCGCTTTGTTCTATTTTATTGATTTTTTATTATGTTTCTTATTTCTTTGTTTCGATTTGCTCAGGGTTTAATTTTCTCCTCTTTTTTGTGAAGTGAAAGCTGAGATCTTGAAAGTCAGGAAAATTTCAAGGAAATTAATTCCTCTTTCCAATATAAGCTAAATTTTGGGGTGTGTATTTTATTCTAAGTGCTGGCATAGTTACATCACACACATTCCTCTGTGTTGTAATCACTGTTATTCAATTTGGAATGTTTTCTAATTTTCCTAGTGACTTCTTTGACCTGGGTTATTTAAAAGTCTGCTGTTTCATTTCAGAACATTTGAACATGTCACACATGTCTTTCTTTCGTGTTTCCAGTTTAATTCTATTGTTGTTACTAAGCCTGTGTGTTAGATCTCGGCTTTTCGAATTTATTTAGACTCACTTTATGGGTCCATTGTGTCATCTTTTCTGGTGAGCTCTGTGCTCACAAAGAGAAGCTTTACACTTCTGTTATGTGTACTTTTGTGGTGCTGGGGATCGAACCCGGGCCTTGCATGTGCTGGGCAGGTGCTCTCCCGGTGAGCTACTCACCTAGCCTCTGATGGACTGTTTATCAGCAGCAGTCAAGTTGTGTAGTTAGAGTGCTTGCCTTCCTGGTTCAGCTTGCTCTATTGGTTACTGAGAGGCATTGCCATGTCCAGCTCCGATGATCAGCCTCGCCCCACAGTTCTGCGAGGGGCGGGTCTCTGCGTGTGTGTGCATTCCTAGAATTAGATGGCTAAAGTTGAGAATTCCTGTTTTTCTGATCAGTGACAATTTTCTTACTAAAACATATCCTTTTTAATCTCCTTACCTTGTCTGATATTGCTATGCCACAGTGGATCCCTTCCCCGCCCCATTATTTTTTCCTGTTTACAATGTATGTTTCTCCATCATTTCACTTTCTGTTTATCTCTGCCTTTTTAAAAGGTCAGCGGATCTCTTCTAGGCAGTGTTTGGGTCTCACTTTTGATGTTTCCCTTTAATTGTGACAGTCTCACTCACATGTAAAGTAAACACTAGCATAATGTCAGTCACCCGTCTCTGTATTTTCCGTATTCACTGCATCTTTGTTCATTCCCATTTCTCCTTTCCTGCCTTCTTTTTTCTTTCTTCCTTTTCTTTTCTTTTTTTTCCTTCGAGACAGGGTTTCTCTGTGTAGTTTTGGTGCCTATCTTGGATCTCACTCTGTAGCCCAGGCTGGCCTCGAACTCACAGAGATCCACCTGTCTCTGCCTCCCGAGTGCTGGGACCTTCATGACCCAGTTACTTTCCAAAGGACCCAGTCACAAAGACCATCCCAAAGTGCACTATGTTTCAGCACGAATTTTGGTGAGGACACAAACATTCGGACCACAGTAGGAGTGTTTCTTGGAATTTTGTTTGTTCCTTATCTGTTGTTTGTTTTTGTTTTGCTTTTAAAAATATTGATTGGAAGGTTCTTTTTCTAAATTAAATAGTTAGTTAATTAATACATTTCAGATGAGTGGGTATTTGGTCTGCATGTATGTCTGTGCACCATGTGTGTGCGGTGCCAGCGGAGGCCAGAAGAGAGTGTGAGATCCTCTGGAACTGGACTGTGGATGGTTGGATTGTGAGCTGCTGCCGTGTAGGTGCTTGGAAATGAACTCGGGTCCCCTGAACAGCCAGTGTTCTCATCCACTGAGCCATCTCTCCAGTCCGGATTGCTTTGTTTGTATTGCTGTTTCTTTACCTTTGGTTTTCAGACTTTGGCTATGAAGTTCCTAGATACTTGCAGTTTCCCAAGTGCCTTGGATCTGGAGTTTGATACTGTTCACCATGTTTGGATAATTTGGACTGGTGTTTTTTCAAACATCTTTTTCTGCTCAGTTCTTTCTTCCCATGCCCCCATGGAACTCCATACCTATTAGACGACAAAATTGTCCCATTCACTGAGGTTTTTTTCATTTTTTTAAACTTCCCTTCAGGTTGGACCGTTTCTACCTTCCTTCAAGGTCATAGTCATATAATCTGAAGTCACCAATCTGCTGCTAAACCCAGCTAGTAAAGTTCTCACCTTATAATTACACTTGCATTTTAGGGATTTCCATTTAGTTCTTTTTTTTTTAATTGTTTCATCTCTGTGCTGAGACTCCATATCTGTTTGTTCATTTTAAGCATCTTTTACTTAGGTCATCAAATGTATTTGTGGTACCTACTTGACAGTCCTTATCTAATCATCTCAACAGCCAAGTGGTCTTGCTTCTCTCTCTCTCCTTTACTGTTCTAGTTTGGGTCATAATTTTCCATCTCTTTGTGTGCCTAGTGTTATTTCACAGTACATTATGTACGCCAAGCACTCAGGTCTATATCCAAGTGTAGCACGTAAAGAATGTCAACTTTGCCTGGGAAGTTTGATCCATTCTCGGTCTGTCAGGCCCAGTCCTGTGCTTTGTTGGGGCAGATTTATTTTGGATGTGAACTTGGGATTGCCTGGATTGTATGATGTGATCTTCAGGTTCCTATTTCTAAAGCAGAGACTATTCCCAAGAACAGTTTTACCACAGTACTAACTAAGTCCTAGTCTGGAACTCCAGTGTATCTCCAAGGATTGTGTATCTCCGGTGTTTCCACTCACCTCACATCCCTGCAGCATCAATTTCTGCTAAGTCTCAAGAAGACTTGTTCTGAGCAAGTGCATCTCAGCCCTTACCGAGGATACACAGTGAAGCCCTGCTCCGACTCTGGTGTGTCTCTCTGTGTAGGTGCGTCTTTGGTCCCTGGAATCAAAACTCCCAGCCATTTTAGCAGTCAGGACTATAATCTCTGCCTGGCTTCTTCTCCCTATGCCGTGGCAGGAACAGGTCCCCCTGGAGAAAGTTGGGGTAGCTTCTCTTCTCTTGGTAGCTATGGTCTTGCGATGCCCGTTCATTTCCATAAAACAGTTGCTTTGTATGTTTTGTTTAATGTTATAGTTCATTTCGATGGCAGTGTAAGTCAGGTATAGTTATCCGGTTGGTGTGGGAAACTGAAGTCTCTAAACATATCTGACAACTATTTTGAAAGCACAAATGCTTATATGGGATGCTTGCAGTAAGACTAAACTTCTATAAAAATATAATCTTTCATGATCTTTAGTGACGGCTTTAAAAAGTCTAACACCATAATTCACTTACCTATAGCTGTTAGACCACTTGTGTATCACACAAGAGAGCCACCACCAAGGCACAGAAGCCTGAGTCAGAAGGAACCCATCCATACCTAGGCCTTAGGCAATGCGATTTCCTTCCTATAACCTGAATTAAGAGGCTCCGTAATTGTGTTCAGATGGTAATTGATGTTTAGCTACAAAATCATGTAGAGCTGGCAATGGAGTGGATGGACTTCAGAGCAAGCCAGAGTTTTAAATGGTTGTGGCTATAGGAAAGAAATAATCATTTGTCCGCAATCTGTAGAGTTCAAAGTCGACGCAGAGAGCAGAACAAATGCTCTGGAAGCAGGGGAAATGCAGAGTATTGTTCCAATAAGTCCTCATACTGCTTCTACTGTTTAATCCCAACAAGCGCCTACTGTAGCTTTCCATAATGCCCATTTTATTTGATATGATTTCAGTAGCTATTCCTCCCCCACCCCAGCCCACCCTCTGCAGAAGAGTACATGCTAAGCAGGGATGCGCTGTAGAGGAAAGGTGTGTGAGGGCAACATAGACTTGACCCCAGCTATGGAGGTCAAAGTAGACTTCACTGAAGGACATAGACATCAGTTTTATCTCCACTGAAAAAGGAGCCAAGTAGTGTCTGTGTGGCCTTTAGATGCCCCGGAAGTACTCTTGGGAGTCCATATCATACAGTCTTTGTAAAAAAATTCAACTAACCGACCAACCAAACAAAAACCCCTCTAACTTTAGTTTGCATTCTGTTTCCCCCTTCATTTATTGTTTATCTGCCTCCTGTGTGAATGCTGAACTCTCTTGTCCTTCACAGTTTTCTGTGTTGAGAGTACTATGTCTTCTTTTCTTGGTTTTAGTTACAGTTTGGACAGGAAATAGTTCCCCAAATACTCATGTACTGAAGACCTAATCTTTTTGCAGAGGGGTTCAGAGCTGGGGCCTTTGAGATGTGCTTGGATGGTGGGGGTACTAACCACATCAATACTGACCCATGGATGGTTTCATAACTGAAGGGGATATTCAGAGATGGTGGGGCCTAACTAAGAGGAAGCATGTTTCTGCTGAGAGTCTCCCTTTGAAGGGTATCCTGGGTCTCCAACCCACTCCTATTGGCGGAAATGTTAAGGCAACTCCACGTAGTTAAAAGGGAGGTTTATTTTGTGGGGTAACTTACAAGTGAAGGGATAGGTTACAGGGTCTGGGAAAGGTGTAGCGCAGTCCGGCGGTGTTCTCTGGAGAACTCTGCTCAGTCTACCTCCAGTGTCCAGGATCCAGGAACCAAGAAAGCCAGCCCATCTGGATCTCAGGTCTTAAGGGCTCCTGTCTTAGCCCCGCCTCATAGGTGTGACAGTTACTGGAAGTCTCAATGAGGGTAGTACTTCCAGGTCAAAGCTGGAACAGCTACCCGCTACACACTCCTCCGTGGCTCTCTGTCTCTGTTTTCTGGCTGCCATGGAGTAAGCAGCTCTGTTTGACTGAGTCCTTCTGCCATGAAATCCCACCTCCCCACAAGCCCAAGCTATGTTTCTTGAACATTTTGTCACAGCAATAGAAAGCTGACTGCCACAGGTGTATATGCTAGTTCAGGCAAAGGGCTGCAGTTAAAACTTACAAAAGCATGCTGTTAAAAAAAAATGTATGGAATTAGTCGTATTTTTATGTCTCCCTGGCTGACTCTTTGGTGATTCTTTTATGCCTCTCAGATGTAGAACTATGTTAGGGTCACAGCAGCACTAAATGGGGATCTCAACATTGGGTCTTAACTCCAGCTTGTCTGGTTCCTTTGTGGCCCCCCGCCCTGCATCTTGCTTCATTTCTTCAGTCTGTAGAGACAGCACCGAAGGTCTTAATCCTTACTTCATCTCAAAATATCATTATGGAAACTAATGAGATCATATTCATAAGAGGATTTGATTTCTCCGCTGTGGCAAAACATCAAAGAATGAAAATCCACCCAGCAATTGTTGCCATAATAATTACAGTAAACAACAGGACATCTAGAGAGAGAAGCAGTTCCCCACTTTTTCTGTAATTGTAAAGGAAATTGAGAGGCAAGAAGATGGTGAAGAAAAGGAGGTCAGCCTGGGTGTGACTGGCGTGACACCTGACTCTCCTTTGAAAGTAGGTGGCGTCAGGAGCGTCTTGGAAGCTCCTCATCTAATCTGTGGCCACATGCCCCCGTCACTGGCCTCCTGAGAAAGCCCCATAGAAAGCAGCTCTGTCCTCAGTAACGCCTTGTGTGTGTCTAGGGGGCGGGGTAAATGGTGACATCTGGTGTAATGGCGGGATAGCTCAGTTTGAACAATCGATTCCTGTGCCTGGATCTCGGAGTAGAAGACAGACCAGAACAGTATTAAGTTGGAAATCCCCAGTGGAACAAGGGCGGCATCTTACAGGTTCGAGACGGCCAGTGCTTATGTGCAGAAAGCATTCTGACTTGCTGTGGCAGAGGTCTCAGGCCTCACTCACTGCATGGGGGCCGATGCTGGCCTTGAAAGGAAAAGCTGGGGCCAGGAGGCAACCAACTATCATAAAAGTAATTAATTGTTCTACTTTTTAATGGTCTGGCAAGACTGCCTTTTGAAAAAAAATGAATCACACAAACGGGACCACGATGCCAGACAGACTGTCCATGGGGACGTAAAAGACTAGTCCCTGCTATAAATCATGATAATGAGTTCATTTTTAAGCTGGTTTATGAGGTTGAGAAGTGCGGTGTCACATTATTTTTTCCCTAAATCTCTCACTGCCTCGAATGCTTTTCAGAATTCAGAGGCTAACATTTCCTTTCACAGCCTCCTTCCAGCTCGAGTGGCCGTTGTTTTACCAATCGGGGCTCTCTCCAAAGATGGTTTTAGCACATGGTTTCATGACTCAGCTGAAACCGAACAAGGCCCCATTGTTGGCTTTGTTTTCACGCCAGCGTTATTGACAAGCTCTGCCTAACTCTTGGGAAAAGGTCTGTCGTCTGACCAAGCTACTATGGAAACCTGATCCGGGCCGTTTAGAAGCCTAATGCCTGCCCTCTAGAATTTGTGAAGAATTTCGAGGCCAGTCAAACGCAGCTCAGAAAATATTCATCAGGGCAGAGGGTACAGCTTGTTCACACCATTTCACTTTTCATCTCAAATCAGCTGTGCAAATAGACTCACTGGCCCAGGGTGAAGGCGGTACTGCCCGTGGGGTCATTGTAAACCATGGAGATTTCATTTATTTCATTTCTACATTATTCTGACTAGACAGGGACAGGACATGGAAAAAACAAGAGCTTGGCCTCTTTGTAAAATTTTTTCAAAGGAATTCTCCCCTTGAAAACTGATTAGTAGAGAAATACTGTATCTAACTGCTCCACACCAGTAAATAGATCCTGCAGGTTTGAAAGAAGAGGCCGGAGTACAGTCATTTTTCACCCTCCCATGAGACCCCCTCCCTTCTTTAGAAACCAACCTGAGGAGAAGGCGAATGCTGGGAACGATGAAAGACTCTGTGCTTGTGCTTGGGAACCTCACCTGCCGTCTCTAGGGAGACGTAGGAAAAACGTTCTGCACTATGTCTTGTGAAGGTGTCGAGTCACTGAATTTTCTTAGGCATTTGCTTGCTCACTGTTGAGTGAGCCTTTAAAGGACAGAGGCGGGTTTACGTGTAAATTTCATCTCAGTGAAATAAGTATTACAAAATGTACCATGCGGTTCGTCATCGTTACTGGTGAGTCGTATGTCTTTCCTCCACTCCTTCACGCTAGTTAAATAGATGGTGTCATTAATGTTGGTACAAAAAACAAGCACGGAAAGAGGAGTTTAACGCCCCAGCATCATTTTGTCTTCCTCCAGTGGACAGGCGCTGGTCATTCCAAGCCCAAGAGACAAATGACGTTGGCGTGGTTTAGACTTTCTCAGATTTTTTTTTTCTGGGGAAAGTGCAGTTCTTCTCCCACCCAGGCTTTTGTTACAGAGTCAAGAAAAAGGCCCAGGGCTTCAGGGAGGTGATGAGATTCCCACAGACTCAATGAGAGGCAGATTCTGGGGCTGGAGGGAAGATAGTTGGATTATAAAATCATTGACTGATTCAGTCAGCAGTCTTTATTATCTACCAGAGGGGGTTCCAGAGGTTGGGGCTACACCCCAACCAAAAAAGACAAAGGTTCCTGCCCTCCCAGAACTTAAATTCTAGTGGGAACAGTAGAAACAGAACGGATACATAAATACATAAATAATAAAAGGTGGAGCATTAGAAGGGCGCGGTTCTTGTGTCAACAAGGAACACTAGGGTAGGTCCACTTAAGTAGTACACTCCTGGGGTGATTTGAAGGGAATGCTAGAGCTCACCATCAGGATAGGGGAGGGAAGCCTCCAGATGGAAGGGGCAGACTGAACAGAAGCCCTTAGACAAGAGCCTATGGGTGCATCTGAGTACAGAGGCTAGAGGGACTGAGCAGAGCGGGCAAGGGGGAGGGGACAGGAGAGGACGTCTGAGGTGATTGGATGGGGCAGAGTGAAAAGGGAGTGTGGCCCCTGTAAGGACTCTGGCTTTTCCTGGGCGCAAAATGGGCTACGGTCAGCTCTTTGGAAAGCATCCTTTCAGCTGCCCCAACAACAGACTCTAGAAGGATGAGGATGAAGCAGGGAGACTAGTAAGAAATGATGTATGGCCTCAGGCCACAGGGGTCACAGCCACAGAGGGGGAGAGTTCTGACTAATGCTAAAGGCAAAAGCCAAACACCTCCTTGATGGGCCCTGAGAGGGTGAGTGCCTCTAGCTCCAGAATATCCTGGTAGACTGAGTCTGGGAGGAAAATCTCATTGGCCAGCTGCCACCACGGACAGGCTACAGCAGCAGTGATAGGAACGGCAGCTCCATCCTGGTTGGCTCGCCTTGGTCCAGACCATCCTGTTCTCCTGTCTTGTCCTCTCCATTTCTCCTGCTGACCCAGATACTGGGTGGTACGGCAAAATAATACCCAAGTTACTCTTTTATGGCTTATTTCTGTATCCTGAAAGTAGATCTACAGCATGTACCGGCAGTTGTTGAACTGGGTGCTGAGCCTTGGAGTCTGGGGCTCAGGCTTTGGTTTGTTCATCCAGGCTGGGATCTCCGTTTGGTACCCCATGATGGACTTAGTCCAATCCTGCCAACAACAGACTCCCAGATAAAAATGATTTTAGTTCCATTTTACGGCTGAGGAAATCAGGGCGCAAGGGGCTGTCATAGATTGCACATGAGTCAGGGGTGAGCCATGTTCTTGAGTATGTGGGGCCCATGCTACTCTCTAAAATTGTTCTGTAAAAGTCCAGGAAATAACTGTGTACATTTCTGAGGGTCTTGTAGTCTTTGTCACAATTACTCAATTACACAATTACAATGAAACAGTGATTGCAAATACGTAAGCAAACAAGAACAGCATTGATCCAATAAGACTTGATTTGTGGATGTTGAAACTTGAATTTCATGTAATTTTCTTTGTTTTTTTCGAGACAGGGTTTCTCTGTGTAGCCTTGGCTGTCCTGGAACTCGCTCTGTAGACCAGACTGGCCTCAAACTCAGAGATCCCCCTGCCTCTGCCTCCTGAGTACTGGGGTTAAAGGCGTGCACTAGCATATATTTTCATGTCATGAAATATTATTCTTTTGACTTTCCTCCAACAATTTAAAAGTATAATCACCATTTGTAACTCAGACATTATTTAAAAAGCATGGGCTGTGGACTCCTGTCCTTAGAAAGATCTAAGAATTTTCTGAAACAGTGTGTCAATGAGAGTCTGGTTCTCATAACTATGGGATTTGGAGAAGAGGAAACAGAGGCCCACAGGAGATGCTGCTCGCCGAGAGCCTCGGTGACTACTGGGTCGCCATCATGGGCTTCCTGTTGGCTGTTTCCTCTCCTTTCACTGCTGCCTGCTGTCTCTGGAGTGCTGAGGGTAACCACATCCCAGGACCTTGTCAGAGTCCATTCTGACCTTTAGTGTGCTCAGTTCAGGCATCTTAGTTTAAAAAAAAAATCTCCACACCAGGAAGGAAACGAAACCTGGGCTCAGAGGAACCAAAAAGAGGACATGTGTGGGGCTTAGTTGCGCATCTTTCAGGAGCCATATCTTCAGCATGAACAAAGTAATCGTCTCCTGCTAGTCGGTCTGCCTTGACTGTAGCCAACTCAGTATTTTCTCATTGTCTAGCTCACGCAGAACTGGAGCTCACACAGAACTGGAGCTCATGCAGAACTGGAGCTCACACAGAACTGGAGCTCACACTGAGTGGAGCTGGAGCTCACGCAGAACTGGAGCTGGAGCTCACACAGAACTGGAGCTCACACTGAGTGGAGCTGGAGCTCACGCAGAACTGGAGCTCACACTGAACTGGAGCTCACACAGAACTAGGGTGGCCTGTCGACACAGCTTCTCTTAGTTAGTCTATGGTGAGGGCTCCTCAGCTGGGAGCGACTCAGAACCTACAACACCTGCTGGATTAGAATCTTCCCAGGATGGAGAAGATGAAGAGTGATCATGGCCCTTCTGATTCCACACTAATTGCAAATTCTAAAACCAATATGGCTATCCTGATCTTTTTCTCATGTCCTCTCATGTATCCTAATTTAAGTATTTCTGTCTGGTTGGCTTTTGTTTTTGGTCAAATCAACTGATTAAAATCATCAAATGAAGTAGTATAATGAACCTCCTGGTACAGGGTCACCCAGAAGATAAGTGAGCATCATTGGAGAATGAAGAAGATAGTGTTTGGGAGATCAATGGCCAGATAGATCCTTCTAGAAGTCGAGCTGCACGTCAAGTGCCTTCTGGGGTCCACTCAGTATGATACCTGCTCCCCATCCTAGGTTCATATCCTGGAGAGAGCACCAGTTCAATGATGGAGAAGCTGAGAAGTCAGGAGCTCATGATCTTGAGGGTTCCCCCGTAGGTAAGGTGGGATTTGGGGCAGTTGATGGGGCAACGAAGCAGTGAGCTGTGAGCTGGCACTGTTACATGGCATTGTACACACTGGGGATGAGAGGAAACAAGGGGTCAGAGGAGAAGACATAAAGCAATTCTGGAATGTTCAGGTCAAGGTCCAGGTCTTCCCTGAGCTTGAAGTTCTGGTAGCCCCTGCCAGTTCTCACCTCCAGAAGGTTCTAACCCATATTCCAGTGCTCAGATTTTTGTAGGATCCTTTCCGTGAAATCCATTTATTTGAGCTTGCTTGCACTAGTATCCCTGCCAACCAGGGAACCACAACTAACACAAACATCCAATCACCTGCTCATTCACTCTAGAGATTCTGGTTTCTAAGTGCTGGGACCCAGTCATTATCTGGAGAGGGGACCAAGATGCTAAACAGGTGACTATGTAAGCTCTCGGACCCTGATGCATACAGCAGAATTTGAGGATTGGGGAAGGGTGAAGAAAGGACGAAAGTTCTCCCTGTCAAGACTCAGGTGGAGGATTTTACAGGTAAAAGAACCAATGTCATGTACAAGTTAGAAACATAGAAATCACATGGTGCAGAGAAGCATCTGAACACTGGAGGGGGCGGACATGTTTTATGTTCTCATGGAGGGTAAGATTACAAGAGTTCAGTGTTTCCATCAGACCATGCTTCACAGCTCTGAGTCAGCCAGGGGAGCTGTGTGGCTGGACTGAGTAACGCAGGTGACCCCGGTAGACCACACAGCAGAGGCTCTAAGATCTTTCAGACTTTTATCCATTCCACAACCTTTTCTGACCCCTCCTGTGTGCCAAGTATCCTGAAAGGTCCTGGAATGAGGAATCAGGACATGGATCTTCTGTCTTCAAAGGCTGTAAATTTCACTCCAACCTTCTGACACTGAACTAGCCTTCGGTGTGTACTTTCTGTGTTTGGGAAGTGAAACAGATGTGTTAGGAGAAATGAAGTGGTGAGTGAACCGCTTACTTCCGGGGGCCACATGGGAAAGATACAGAAGATCCTCCTCTCCTGTACCTGGAGGAGATCCAGATGAGGAATTTCCACAGCTGCGGTTGGCAATGTCTTGTTCAATTCCAGCACATTGAACTTGTGCAGTTCTACTTGAACATATAAAGGCTTCTCCTCTACCACCCACAATTTTATGCTACTCCCAAAAAATGTCACAGGTGACCCAATTCCTTCATTCAAATGTTATTTTTAGTAGATGTCAGAAAAGGAGGAGTATCATTCCGAAGCTGAGAGCAAATCCCCTGCATGCGCTTCTTCTTTTCATCTGTACCACCCATGGAGGAAATGAGTGGTACTTGGCGGGTCTCACACAAGAAGATGATGTCTGCCTGAGGCCCAAAATAGTCAGGCTTCAGCCAAAGGACGTCTGGATCTTTTCTCTTCCAAAGAAATCAAAACTGTCCCCAAATTAAGTTCCTCAGTGCATAATAACCCTGCAAAGTAATGGACCCAAATGCAATTTATCATTTTCCAAGAGACAGAAATAACACTAATAACTATAATTTAGATACAACTGCTCCTCAGATTTACAATCAATCTAACAGACTGTGTTTGTTTCTGTGTCTTCTAGGAAGTCTTAGCACTGACCTGTGATCCTTTACAGAAAATGCATGAAAATGAAGTATTACCAAAGCTCACGCTGTGTTCTTGTGATAGGCAGATCATGACCAACTTGTCTCTGCCAATCTGTTAGTGGTCGCTCTGTGGGTGTGCACACAGATGTGTTTTTGTGTGTGTGCATGCAGACATGTATTTGTGTGTGTTTGTGTGTGTGTGTGTGTGTGTGTGTGTGTGTGTGTGTGTGTGTGAGAGAGAGAGAGAGAGAGAGAGAGAGAGAGAGAGAGAGAGAGAGAGAGAGATTTGGAGAATATAAGTTGTAACTATCTCCTAATAGTGAATTTCCATTTATCTATTCTTTTGTCCTCACAAGTCAGGAAAGGCAAAAAGAAAGTTATCTCAATTGTCAGCAGCCCCTAATCTTGCCGTCTTTTTGTCAGAGTTTTAGAGAAAAGTTGTTGAAGGTAACATGGAGGATGTGATTAAGGCCGCTGATTTCTTTGGGTGGGGTGAGGCTATTTTAAAGCAAGAACAGTCCTGTGTGGGCGCCTGAAGTCAGACATCGATGAAACCAGCTTCCCACAACTCCTCACACCTGACCCTTGGTCAGCTGACCTCCCAGTGTCTGTTGTAGGCCACATGGTATGAGTTTGACTTGAGGAGAATTATTACACAGGAAACGTCTCAAAGGGCTGGCCTCACTGATGGGAAGTACTATCCGTGTGCCATAACAAGTGAAGTTGCCACCACTTGACGTGTGTGTAAATAAAAGGTTAGCTCCAAGTCCCCACCTCCTGTCTTTGTTAGATGGAAGGCCTTTTGTCTTTTTTTTATTACTATTTTTTGTTTGTTTTTAAATTTGTGTGTCTCTCTCTGTGTGAAGGTATGTGCATGTGAGTGTAGCTGAGCCACCTGGTACGGGTGCTGGAAACCAAACTCTGGTCCTCCAGAAGAAAAGGAAGTGCTCTTAACTGCTGAGCCAACTCTCCAGGGCTCCCCTTAAATGGAGGTTTAGTACACCTGGTTTGTTATGAGGTGCAGTATGGGAAAAGACACTCGTAAAGGGCTTGACATAAGACCCTTTGTGGCAAGTGCATCAGTCCATTTTCGGTTGCTATAGCAGGATACTGGAGACTGGGTAAATGACAGAGAAAAGTTTATTTTGATTCTTAGTTCTGAAGTCTAGGAAATTCAGTGCCTCATCTAGGGAGGGCCTTGCACAGTGTCATGACCCAGCAGGAGAACAGGAAGGGTAAACAAATAGACAGAGAGAAGTGTATGTGTAGACAGAGGGAAGGCTCCAAGGTTCACTTTATAGTAACCCCTTCCAGAGGTCACCAATCCAGGACTGTGAGAACTCCCTTCCTCTAGAAAGACATTAAAGGTCCCGTCTTCCAATGCCACTACATTAGCATCAATTTCAGCGAACCTTTGCATGAATAAACAATATCCTAGCCCTAGAAATAAGCATTCAATAAATACTAGCTGTTGCTATCCAGCATAATTTGCTTCTGTAGATATTAATAGTGCACATCAAGTAGTTGGAAACATCAAATGACTTAAGAAATAAGTGTTGATGAAAATAACCCATTGCCTAAATCATTCTAAAAGTGCAACCAATGTTGGCTATGATAAACCTGGAGTTTATATTACGATGAGCTAAGATCTGGTCATGAAGAGGTCATGATCTCTCTGGAATCCTAATTTTTTTCACTTGGCATCAGAAAACAACCTCCTCATATTTGAAAGCTTGCTTTGCCTTACCTTGAGGAATATGTCTTTTTATGGAACTACATATCCAATAAGAAGTCTGTTTCCTGGTTGGAGGTGTAGCTCAGTGGTAGAGTGCTTTCCTTACATGTATAAAGCCCTGGGTTCAATCCCAGGCCTTCAAAAACAGAAGACAATTCCATTTCCTGTATTGTCTTTACATCATGAATTCACCATTTTTTTTTCCATTCTGAATAACTTGATTGGTCATTCTTCATAGAGAAAGAGAGTTTATCACATCTGGGAAGATGCTGGGTACCACAGCAGTAAGAAGATGTTGAGTACCACAGCAGTAGGAAGATGTTGAGTACCACAGCAGTAGGAAGATATTGAGTACCACAGCAGTAAGAAGATGCTGTAAGGAAGGTGCTGAGTACTCTAGCTGTAGGTACAAAGACAAGCTGAGTCCAGGTTCAAAACTATAGAGTCTTATGCCTCCCAGAACTCTAGGGGCTTCCCAAAACAACAGAAACCACAGGCTTTAAATCCACCAGGTGTAAATCTGGGAATGTTGTGGGCCAGCTCTCCCATTTCCTACCTAGACACTGTCTGAGAAAAAACCTGTGGAGACTTTGGAGAAAAGCCTGAAATAATTTCAAAGAACATCGACCCCAAGCTGCCACCCAGTGATCGAGTTTCCTACAAGTTCAAATTTAGCTGAATTCATTTTTTCAAGTTTAAATAAGAGAATGATAAAGTATACCTGTCATTACAGTCAGGTGTAGAGAAAGGCTATTGTCTAATCATGCTGCCTCGTCCCTGGGGTTTGAGATGGTTGAAGATGGGAGAGTACATTCCCAGAGTGACCTGGAAAACTTCTTTCTCTAACAAAACTCATTTGGATTCTATCACAACTTCTTATCATATTTATTTGTGCCAATTAATTATTGCTTTGGATTCAAGATAACAGATATTTTTTAAATGCGATTGTACCCACATTACCTGGGATTCACAGAGGACAATAACAGATCTATCTCACAGTTGATAAGGCCTGCCATACATGTCTCGGAGAAATTAGAGGAATCACTAAACATATTTTTCATTTTGGGGCCTTTTCTCAGAAAAACCTTCCTTTCATCTTTCACGACCGTCAAAGTTACACAAGGCATCAAAAAGAACGGGAGAGGATAATGAGACGGGTTGAAGCAGAGCCAAGTCTGGGCATTCTGAAAAGATGTTTCTAACCATGATGGGATGTTAGTAGAGACCAGATGAAACTCATCCCTCACATCTTGCTAGCTGAACTTTCCCAGGATTGGGGTGGAGGGAGGAGGTGGCAACCCCAGCGCTTCATTACAGCTTCAAGAGAAATAGTTTTTGGGTCACCCAGCACCCAGGAGTACAATCCTTGCTCATTCTGTACTTCCTGTACATGCAACTCAG